ATCTATCTATCTATCTATCTATCTATCTATCTATCTATCTATCTATCAATCATCTATTATCTATTGCCCTATCATCTATCAATTATCTATCCACCTACCTATTGACCTGTTATCTATCTCTATCATATCTATCTATCTATCTATCTATCTATCTATCTATCTATCTATCTATCTGTCATCAATTACCTATAATTTATCTACTCATATTATCATATATATATATACATATATTTATAGATAAGTGATTCTTTCTGTAGAATTTTTCTAATAAAAAGGGCACTGGCAGTGTTCTCTTTAATTCTTTGTGACACACATGACATTTCATTTTCTTGGAAGAGTCAGAGATCATGGGTCACGAGATGATGGTTGCACTATTTGGGTAGGCAATGCAGCTCTTGAAAATATCTTTGTGTTGGTGAATTAACTCTGAACATTTTAATTGAGACATAATTAACATAACATGCAATTAACACTTTTAAAGTATATAGTTCAGTGAATTTTCATATAAATACAAACTGTCCAATATCTCTACTACTTGTACAATGTTTTCATCAGCTGCCAAAGGAAACTCCAAACCCATTAGCCATAAGTCTCCATACTTTCCTCCCTCCACCTCTGACAATGATCATTTTATTGTCTGTCTCTATGAATTGTCCTATCTACATTCATCAAATCTACAATGCATGACTCTCTGGGTTTGATTTTCTTTCTTTTCTTGAGGGAACATCACAAGTAGTCTAGGCTGGCCTTGAACTTAGTTTGTACCTAAGGCTGACCTTGAACTCTGGTGCTTGTAGAGGAGACAAGGTCATTGAATACTCTGAAAGTGGAGTTCCAGATGACTGTGAGCCATCATGTCGATGGTGGGAACCAAACCCAGGTTCTCTGAAACAGCAGCAAGTGATTTTAACCACTAAGCCCCTCTTCAGCCCTATACATTTCTTCACTAGATCTTAGCGATTCTACTTTAATAAAGTTGCAGGGTAGACATATGAGTTTCACTGAAAGGCCTACAAACCAGCAGGATATTCAAGCCACTGTCCGTTATGTCACAGTAAGCCTAGTGGACCTGAGGCAAGAATGAAAGATCCTGGCCCTCAGACTGCTCTGTGTTTATAGGGGATTAGGATTAGATTATTTCAGATCCCAGCTGCTTTCAGTTCTGTGTAGGTGTGTCTTAGTCTATGGCTCATTGCTCTGGCCCTTCATGAGAAAAAGGGGGGGCTTTAACTCAGAGATTCAGAGTCTGTGTTAGTTCCTTTCTTGTTGCTGTGATAGGATATCCGACAAAGGCGGCTTAAGGCAGAAAGGGTTCTATTTGGACTTCCAGTCCCAGCGGAAACACAGTCCACCCTGGTGGCAGGTGCCCGAGGTTCACTTGTCACACTGCATCAGCAGTCTGGAAGAGAGAGTGAGAAGGAAGTGAGGCCGGGCTACGGGACCGCAAAGTCTGCTGCCAGTGATTCCCTTTCTCCAGCAAGGCTCCATCTCTCAAAGGGCCCATATCACCTCAAATCACACTACCATCTGGGGACCAGGTGTTTAAACACATGAACTTACGGGGGACATTTCACTTTCAGACCACTACAGAGTCCAAGCAGCATGGCTCTGGCTGACTCTGATGAGACCCTGTTTGGCTGCAACATGGAGATGGCATCGTGGGGAAACATGCAAAAAAACAAAACAAAATGAAACAAAACAAAAACAAGGCATTATGTGGAAGACAGAGTCAAAAGGTTTTAGGGGAATAGCCTTTTATAATAACAAAGTGTTGGGAAGCTAATACCTGGGGTCCTATGAGAAGGAGGGAAGGCCGTTAATCTCTTTTAAGGACAGAAACCATAGTGAGGCAGTGATCTTCCACTGTCACATGGCCACACTGAAGACCACCTTTCTAATGCGTGAGCCCTTGGAGGAATGAGGCACATTCAAGTCTCAGCAATGTAGATTCTTAAAAGGTACTTTCATTTCTCCTGATATGGTGCCTGTCTTATAATAGCGGCAAGATCATAGGCAAGGTCTATGACCTCACAGACCTGTGTTTGCAATATGAACCGCACATTTTAAGTCAAATTATAATCGCCAGAGCACCTCTCTCAATCTGGCTGACAGAACTCCCATTCCCACGGGTCCCCACCGTAGCTGAAGAGTTATTGACAGTTGATGGCTTCTAGGGGAAGGAGAGTCAGTTTCATAAAGACTGTAGACCCTGGGAGCCTCACCACACTCCAGTAAATAGCCTCAAATCCGTGAGTATATGGAGATCACAGATTGGAATCTGTGGGTTAGGTAAAAGATGGGGTGAAGGGTGGGGAAAACATCTGGTAGAGTTAGGGGGTGATATGCATGTATGAAATTCTCAAGATTCATATATATATTTGTATATATATTTTCCAAGATAATCATCCTTCTCAGTGTGTCCCTCACACCACGTCTCATGTACACTGTCAGTACGTCAGCTGCACTCACCTGTGGTAACACCTGGTAACACCTTTGTACCTAATCCTACCATATATCTCATTTCTGAGCTTCTTGTCACTGTCTTTCCAAATTCCAGCAAAAAGCTGCTCTTTCCAGATTCATTCAAAGCTCCCTGCGATGGCCAATGTGGAGATCCAGCCTTGCTGGAGGAAGTAAACACTGGAGGCGGGCTTTGAGGTCTCAGAGCCTGCCCCACTTCCTGTTCACCATCTTCCAAACATGCGCTGTGGTGAGTGGTGTGTTGGCACAGCCTAGAACAATGTCCCCTCCTTTTCAAATAAAACAGGCAGCCCTGGCCAGCCTTGGGCTCCAGCTTTCTGGTAAAGTTCTATAAGCCTCAGGGCTTCCTGGTCTTCACTGCACTCCAGCTAGATGGAAGCACAGAAGCACATTTCCTGGCTTCTCCAGACATGCTTCCTTCCCTTCCCCAGCAACAGATGCAAGGGCTGAGTGGCACCTCACCACCATTAGTAGGCACTTGCCCTGGGCACAAGAACGTTCTGTGACAATTGAAGATGGTACCACTTGAGCAGGGCATGGCGACACACACCTTTAATTTCCTCACTTGTGAAGCAGAGGCAGGTATCTCCGAGTTCAAGGCCAGGCTGATCAACAGTGAGTTCCAGAACAACCAGGGCTACAAAGAGAAAAACCAAGAAGAAAGAGGAGAAAGAGGAGAAGGAAAGCTAAATGATACCACCACATGGTGATGTGAGATGGACAGGAATGGCACACACAAAAAGACACTTTTTCAGACCTGTAAAACACCAAAGGTGACAGGTCCCCTTTCTACTGAAATGTCCTATTTGTTAGCCACAAAAGGCCATAGCCACCCTTTTTTTCTGAATTTACACAGCCTTGTTTGGCGCTAGGCATAGAGAAAGTTTGGAATTTGAATTTCTGACCCCTCAGCTCACCTGACTGGACACTGTGGAAGATGGACCCTCTCTCTGTTTGTGGGTTCAGCCTGGTTGTGGCCACAATGCCCAGGCATGGGGGTGTAACTGTCTCCTGTCCCCTGCCCACAAGGTTAAGACTTTTGGGTACAGGCATCCCTATTGGTTTCCAGCAAAGACAGAAGCTTGTACCATACATACCCCAAGCAAGATCTTTTCCATGGAGAGTCCTCCACAGAATCCCTGTGTTTTTGGATGCCAAATAGACCCGTGGCACTTCCGGGTCCCTGTATGTGAGCATCAGTTGTGCCTCTTGCTTCTCACTGGTTTTGACAGCAGACCAGGGCTGGCACTCATTCTGGCTGTACTGTTCCGTCTCAGCGCCTGCTCCTCAGTGGCAACCGCCACCCCTTTCCTCCCTCATTCCACAGTTGATGGAGCCTGAGGTACAGCCTCCTGGGCTGAAAGCAGATTCAGAAATGGTGAATCAGATTACGGAAGTGGGTCAGGCAGGTGGTTCGTGAGGTGTGTGCTCTGTGCGGAAGTGGTGGGTCAGGAGCCCTGGGGAGGACTTCTCAGTTCCCCTATTGGTTTCACTGCAGTAACAGCTGCAGTGGGTTCCCAGATACGTGCTTGATGTTTCCAGATGCCAGAATAAAGAAGCAGAGTATAGGCTTTGTGAGTCAGGTCTGCAGAACAATAACATGCGCCCCCCTACACACCACCCTCACCAATCACCACACATACACACACACATATGAATCAGTCCCCAAACTCAGGGAGCTCACAATCACATTTGGGAGGCGGTAATGTATCACATAATGACACACATGAGTGGCCTTGCTGCAGAAAGATCACGAGTCACTCTGGGAGTGGGTAAAGGCTTCAGCGAGGAGGTGGGTGCCATTTTACCAGGTAAGCAAGAGCATGGAACATGTTTGTTAGAGGAAATGGGTGGAAAGGACTTTGGTATCACCCACAATTTGCTTCAACACCCTTCAGGACCAGGCTCAATTAGCATCCCAAAGTAAAAATAACACATGTTGGCAGAGAAAGGCAGGGCCAAACAGCCTTCCAGGAGCCAGGAAAGGCATGTGGGAGAGCTCAGATGAAGCTCACAATCAGGCCAGTCATTTGCATAGCTCATCCCCCCTCAGCTCTCCCTCCTCTATGTCTCTTCCATCTTTGATGGCCCGCTCCATTTCAGCACCTCAGTGTTCTTGCCCTACATAGAGTTTTCTCTATGTCCCTACTCTTTTATGTTCTCATCTCCCAAAGAACAAAGTCTGGCCTGGTTTGCAGAGTCCCTGAACTTCAAGCTCTAGAGAGAGGGGCATGATTCTAAGTTCTTTCTCTTCCTTCTACCTTTCATCAAAATTCCCCCATCAGATACCTTTTGTTCTAAAAGTTTCCTTTCTCTTTATATCCCCTTTCTCTGTTTTCTAGCATCTCAACAGTCATTAATTCTATTGGGTTTTCTTTCTTTTTCTTCCTAAGTCTTTCTACAATAACTAATATATTTTTGCACAAAGTACTGTTAATGTCCCTTTACACCCTAACTGACTTGTGCTTCAGAGGTGATTGTTTCATATCTTATTATTACTTTATTTTCATACGAGTCTACCCTGGATAGCCACTGTTACTATAGACGGTGTTCTAGTTGCAGAGAACTGTGGAGAACCTGAGGCCCTGAATCCCAGTCTACCAGAAAAGTGGCACATCAATACCATTACACCCTCGTCCCACTTAAGCATTTCAAACACAAATGAAAGAAAAAAAGTGACCCAAATTAATATAAAATGTAACTAATAATTGAACTCTCTAGGCACAAATCCTGACATGAAAACAACACAAAACACCTAGACAATGAATCTTTCAAAATCTACCAGTCCTTATGTAATGATTTCTAGTAAGAGTAACTTAGAGGGAAAAAAGCAATGATAAATTTGTTCAAAGAAATGAAAGGGGCTGACAATACAGGCCGTAGAATTCCACAACACACACAGAAATTGAGGCCCTCAATGTAGGATGTGCAAATGAAATCCGACAAAGTGGGAAACACTGGAAAAATCACTGGAGTTGATGGCAGAAATAGAAAATTGCAACAAGAAACAAATAAACAACAAACAAACAACACACAAACAAACAAAAAACATACAACAAACAAACATAATAAACAACAAACAAATGCAGGATCACAGGAGGACAGACTATAAATGAAAACAGAAAAAAAGATTTAAATGTAGGAAGTGAAGAGTTGGCTCTTTGAAAAGATAAACAATATCAACAAGCCCTTCCTACTGAATTTAAAGAATGAGAAGACCCAAATTTTAAAATTAGAGATGAAAAGGAATATACTTCAATAGAGAACAATGAGATTTAGGAATTACGTAGATATTCCTTTAAAATCAAATTTCAAAATATTAATGAAACAGACAACTTTCTGAACAAAAAATGGCCTATGAAAGTTAAATCAAGATGAGAAAAATAAGCAGATACCAAGTAGGAAGATTGAAACAGTCATAAAAAATCTGTTAGTAAAAGATCAATCACTTGCAGAATCATACCAGGCTTTTGAAGGAGAACTAACAACAATATTCATCAAATTATTCCATAAAATAAAAAGCAAGCCGCACCTGGAAACTCATTTTACAAATTTGACATTACCCTGATATTCAAATTAGAGATGGACACAATGAAAAAATGAAATTACAGATCAATGTCCTTAATGATGATAGAAGTATTATTTTTTTCAATAGAATACTTGCAAACCGAATTCAAGAATACATCAAAGAGAGCATTCATCATGATCAGAACTGTTTCATTCCAGAGATGCAGGAATGGTTTATTGTATGAAAATCAATAAATGTAATATGTTATATAGATTGATTCAAGGAAAGGAACCACGTGATCATCTCAATAGCTGTGGAAAACACCTATGACAACATCCAACTCCCTTCTTGATTAAAAACTCTGAAGAGACTATGGATGGAGGGAACATAGCTCAACATAAAGCCTGTAGACAATAAACCTATAGACAATCACATGAAATAGAGGAGGAAAGCCAAAACATTTTGGTTAAGATAAGGAATAAAACAAGGTTGTTTATTCTCTCCATCCCTATTCAATACAGTGCTTGAAGTCTTAGATGGAGCAAGAGACAAGGCAAGTAGATTAAAATAATTATGAACATAAACATTAGAGATCCCAAAGACTCCACTGCAAAATTTTTAGAACTGATAAATACCTTCAGCAAAATGACACAATGCAAAATCAATATGCCAAAAAGTCCATAGCCTCTCTATGTGGCACTGGCAGACATACTAAGAAATAAATGAGGAAAAACACTTCCACTTCCAATAGCTTTAACAATACTTCGGAATAAATATAACCAGAGAAATAAAATACCTATACAATGGGTGGGAGAATCTCTGTGAGTTCCAGGTCAGCCTGATTTATGCAGTGAGTTCCCAGGTATCAAGGACTACATAGAGAGACCCTGTCTCAAAAAACAAACAGCAGCAGAGCAACAACAACAAACACTTATTTCCAAGTGGATCAAAGATCTTAATGTCAGACCTGAAGCTCTAAAAGTGCTGCAGGAAAAAAAGGACATTTCAAGACACAGGCATAGGGAAGGCCTTTCTGAGTAAGAACTCTGGCCGCTTAGAAGATAAGGCTAACAACCAGCAATTGTGATTCATGGGATTAAAAACATCCTTACAGAGGAGGAAATGGTTAGTCATGTGACGAGACGGTCTATAGAACAGGAGAAATCTTTGTCAGCTATACATCTGATCGAAGATCCATACTCAGAGTATGCAGAGAGTCTCCTTAACATCCTATCAACAAGGAAACATCAATCCAGTGTCAAAAATAGACTAAAGAATTTAACAGAGTGTTCACAAAAGAAGAAACATAAATGACAAATAAACAAGTTTAAAAATCCTTCTCCCTCTAGGAAATGTGAATTAAAACAACTTTGAGAAGTCAGCTCACCCCAGTAGAAAGGCTGTCATTGGGGTACAAATGATGACAAAGGCTTGCAATGGTGTGTGGAAAGGGGACACTTATTCACTGTTGTGGAACTAGAGACTTGTACGGCAGCTATGGAAAGCAGTGTGGGTTTCTCAAAACCCTACCCATACAAGTTCCCTACAGCCTCGCTATACCGTATGCTCAGGACTTCTAGCCTACCAGGGAGCTACTTGCATATCCAAGTTTACTATTGCTCTGTTCACAATAGTTAAGAATTGAAATTAGCCAAGAAGTCCATCAACTGACAAGTGGATAATGAAACATAGTTATGAACAGTGGAATTTTATTTATTCATAAATAAACAGAAAGGTTTTAGGAAAATGGAAGGAAGTGGAAAGTATATTAACTGAAGTAGCTCAGACTTAGAAAGGTTTAAGTGGGATGGGGGTCAGGGATAAGGGACAAGGGTAAACCAAAATTAACAATACAAGTTAAAGCCATAAGGGAATCGGATACTTGATAACATAATAAAAATAAAGTACAGAAGTGTTTCAAGAAGTGTCTCATGTGGGTGGGTAAATTTTCTTTTTCTCAGAAGCTGTGGATTTTTAAATTAGGATTCCAAGATTAGAGGTAGGCTACCGCTATATGTATTGGTCAAGAAGGCACTGGAAGACTTCAATATAATACAAGCAATATCCACTGCATTGGTTGCTCACCAGAAGATTCCACACATGTTGATTACAAGACACAGAGAAATTCAACTAGAACTTGGATGGACACTTCCTCTTTGCTAACTAGTCCTCTGTGCTGCTTAGGTTTGTTTGTTTGTTTGTTTTTGTTTTGTTTTGTTTCTTCAACCTGATAGCCATCTGGGAAATAGGATAGCCTCAATTGTGAAAACTTGCTTCACCAGATTGGCCTGTAGATCAGTCTGTGGAGCTTTTATCTTTTGACTATTGATTGATATGAGAGGGTCCAGCCCACTGTGGGTGGTACTACTGATGGTGGTCCCGGATGAAATAACCCCTTTCTTTCATGTTGTTTTTGGTCTCTGTGTTTCTTACAGCAATAGAAAGAAAACTAGAGTACCCTTATAGTGTTGGAAACTTTTACGCAGGGTCCTGGGGAAGAATAGTCATCAGTAGTCTTACTGACCTGTGGACCTCACGTGCAATAATACCGACTGGTCAGTTAAAATGAACTCACTGAGGCAATAGTGGCACATCTGTTGGGGGATGGGAGTGTCAACAGCCACTCCCTGATTATAGTTGATACTTGTTCCATAAGAGGGAATTCCTGTCTGGTCCTATAAATCCAGCCAAAAGCCCATGGCTGGAGAGGTCATGGGCCCTGCTGGAGGAGATATTGCTGTTGTTTTGCTAAATGGATAAGCTATAGCTGCCAAACTGCCTTCTAAATAACTATGTTTATGTTTATAGAATACTTCTACTGTCATTAGACAGAGAAGCTACTTTTCCTGTGTGGTTATCA